TCAATTTAGAAACTTATTTCTGCATATAATAAAAGAGCATTAGAGTAGCATTTGAAGATGCATCTATGAAAACAAATAAAAAAATTACAACTTTTTCAGCTTCTAATTCAAGTGAGATATTGTATGCTAGTGACACACACCTGCGAAAGAATGCTAGAAAAGTTGAAACACTGTTTGTTTTTTTAAATAATGAGATAAACAAATCTAAAACCAGGGCTTGAGAAATAATGAATAAGACAAAAACAAAAACTTATGCCCAAAATCAAGCTTTTTTTTTTCAAAACCTTCATTTCCAACAAGGCTGCAAGTAACCACTGTTAGAGTTGAAAGTTACTGGAAGAGAAACGATAAAATTTATAGTCAAATACAACGATTAACAGAGGACTTAAAAGATTGCAAATTATATGAATCAGGAAAATAAGATGAAGAGAGCGAATTTCAAAGGACTGATGTTCAAGGAAAAAAAATTAACGAATAAGAACTTTTGGAATAGTCAACGAACTTAGGAACAATCACAGAAAAAGCATGAGACTTAATTGAATGACGAGTAACAGAAGAATGAATTATAGTAGATGGCACAAGAGATGTTAGTTCTTCAGAACAATGCCCATCATAGCATTTATAGAAAAGTGAAAGAGAAACAACATTAGAACAATGTGACAATGGTTGGAGATTGGCTGCAAGAGCAGTAACGCATTTTAAATATAGTTGGATGACTGCAAGAGCAGCATCCAACTATGTTTACAATGCGTTAATGCACCTTGTCTAAAAGCTTAAATTCAATCCATGTATCCTGATAAATTGGCTATGCTAATGAAACCAGGTGAAGTCCAAAGTTACTTTAAAAAAAAAGATATTAATGAAGACAAAATTTAAAACTAAAAACTGGAAAAAAGGTTCCCCATTTTGAAAAAAAAAGCAAACAATTTTTTTAAGGATGTTAGTTTGAAGTAGTCTTTTTTTAGCTCTATGAAAGTTAAAGGTTTTCCACAATGGAATTAAGTTGAAAAAGCTTGCCCTCAGCCTTAGCTAAAAAGTCAATTTCAAAGAGGCATAAGGCCTAGTTTGTTGGCTGAATCTCTTGCATCTTTTTTTCCTTTCAAATTTATTAGAAGACAGAGTCATACTTTTGCAAGTGCAACAAGTGCAACTGCACTGGGCCCCCAATATTTAAGGGGCCCCAAATATTAAAAACATGTTTTGCTAATATGAAACTTATTTATAAGAAACTAGCGCTATTATAGAGAATTTAGAATTTATTTTAGAAAGTAATTTGGAGGAAATATATCCAAATGTATGTATCTTATATCGAACAATTTTAGCAATATCCATTACTGTTGCTTATTGTGAATGATCATTTTTAAAACTAAAATTAATGAAAATTATTTCTACAATGTTACAGGAAAGATTTCAGGATTAGCATTACTGTCGATAGAAAATGCAACCAGAACAATTGATTACAATGATATAGTTGATGAATTTGCAAGCAAAATGGTTAGGAAAACTAATTTATAACTTCTTTACATAATTTTTTATAAGAAATAAAACCCAATGTAAATGAATTCAATAAAATTTAAAAAAAAAAAATTTAAGGGCCCCAAAGAGTTACAATACGGCTCTGTTTGATTCTAGTGCTACAATTTTAGCATCATAAGTCAAAATTTAGACAACTTGTTTAAATGTAATAATGCTTTAATGGTTTTAATTTTTATCTTTTTAAGAAAAAGATAACTCTGCTTTTTTTGTTTCTTTTAACATGTATAAAATAATAGTCATTACAAAACACCCACAAAAAAAACTATGTATATGTTCTATACCAATGAACATCAGAAACTAAATTTCCATTCAATATAATATTTCCTTCTTCCATAGATTTGTTTCGACCAACTAAAGTTTCCCCTAAATATAAAAAAAAAAACTATTAAAAACTTGTAACTTTTTTTTAAAAACTCTTTTTAAAGTTCTTGATAAATGGAGAAAATGGTCATATATGAATGTTATATAAATAAAATAGATTAATGTTACCATCTTTTAATAGGTAAAGAAGTATTTCAGCTAACTGAGGATCTTCGTTTAAATTAACTAAACTTGGTCGCTGATTTTCAAATTTACCAAATGCAACACCAGATTGCTTTAGTTTTAAAATTAAAATTTTTTTTTCAATAAACATCTCTGCTTAAGTTATACATACATATATTATATAAATATTTAATAAAACTTTTTATACACACATATAAAATAACATTTGATAAAATTTACTCTTAAACTTTTTGCAGCTCTTTTTTGAAGAACATTAGACTTTGCAACATCTTCTTGCCAATTTCTAAATTTAAAAATATATATACTATTTTTAAAATAATAAAAATATTAAAAAAATACTTATAAAAATGCTTCCACAACCAAAAGTTCCCCCCTCCTTCCTATCTATCCACACACAAAAAAATACTGACAAAATTAGAAGAATTAGAGAAGAGAAAAAGTCATTCAATTTAAAATGGGGTATTATAATTCGGAAACATACTGAGCAGCTGTAGCTAATTCTTTTTGAGCATCCATAAGTTTCTGTCGTAATTCTGTAACTTCTTTTTCCAGACTGTTACAGCCTGACCTTCTTTGATAAGCTTTTAAATGTTTAATTTCAGCCATCATCTCTAAAAAAAATGAAACTATCGTTTTACATAATAACATAATTTTTTTATATTTTATTACATACCTTTTTCTATTATTTTTAAAAGTAATTATTATATTTGTCATATATTTTACATAATTAATATCATAATTCTATAAACAAATTTTGATGTTTTGCAACCTCTTATAAGTTGAGATGTTCTGTCTTCATTAATTTTTGCTTTATTAATAATACATCTGGCTTGTTGAGCATACGTTTTAAAGCATTAAAGAACTTTCACACATTTTAAATTTAAAAGTCAGAAAAAAAATCCAATTAACAATTATATTATTCAAAAAATGTTTAGAACACTTGTGAAAAGATATCTTAATGTATTTAATGTTTCAGAAGCATAAACTTGTGAAGGGGCGATTGTAGCAAGCATTGTGGTTTTAGCATTGCCTCCAAGACTTTCTTTTAGCAGCCTAAATTATAATTAAAACTATAATGATCAAAAAAAAAATTTTAAAAAAAGGCGCAGAACATTTGTTTAAAATAAATTTACCATGTTAAAACAGAGTCCCTGTATGGAATAAATGTTGTTTTTTTTTTCGAACTGATTTCAGAGAGAAGAGATATCACTTTTCCTAGTGTGTGCAAAGACTTGTTTATACAGCTACCTTCCTAAATTATTATAAATCATTATTACCTTTTTAATAATTCTTTTTAATAATCTTTTTCAAAAAAATTCAAAATTATTTTTTAAACATTTTTAAATACAACTTTACATAGATTAAACTTGACCTTCATTCTAGCAGAAGCAAGCTCTAAACAGTTTCTTACTGCATCTGTATCTAAAACCTTTGTTACGCGCTCACTACCAGCTAAATCTATCAGATTGACTTTACTTGATCTTTGTAGTTGTGTTTCAGTGCCTTCAAATTTTTCAGTCTGCATATAAAATTTTTTTGTAGTAAAATAAATATACTGAACAAAAAGTTTAAAATAAATGGTTGAGAGGTTGCATTTTATTTGTGGCATTTTATTGTAATGATGCTTCATTACAATAAAATGAGTCATAAAGAAAAGTACCATAATTATCATGAAGATTATGAAATAATAATATGATAATTCATTTTTTAATATTTTTATTTTATATATATATATATATATATATATATATATATATATATATATATATATATATATATATATATATATAAAATTTGCCAACCTCAATCCTTTAGAGGTCGGCATCAGGTCGGCAAATACAAAGGTCAGACCATAAAACATCTAAACGAGGTCGGCAAAACTAAACTTTTTTTAAACACGTTTAGGTCGGCATTACCAAATGCCGACCCTAATTCTGAGGGTTGTGTATATATATATATATATAATATATATATATATGTATATATATATATATATATATATATATATATATATATACATATATATATATATATATATATACACATGTATATATATATATACACAACCCTAACGTGTATATATATATATATATATATATACCTAACCCTAACAACCTAAACGTGTTTAAAAAAAATTTAGTTTTGCCGACCTCGTTTACATGTTTTATGGTCTGACCTTTGTATTTGCCGACCTGATGCCGACCTCTAAAGGATTGAGGTTGGCAAATTATATATATATATATATATATATATATATATATATATATATATATATATATATATATTTATATATTTATATATATATATATATGTATATGTATATGTATATATATATATATATATATATATATATATACATATATATATATATATATATATATATATATATATATATATATATATATATATATATATATATATATATATATATATATATTATTGGACAAAAAAATTTTAATCAAAAGATCTAAAAAAAACATTCCTAAAAAAGTAGATTAATATTAAAAAAAAAAAAAAAAAAAACTTGCCTTAACTTGAGATAAAAGAATTGTAAACACAGAATGAGATCGACTGCTTTTATCATTCATTCCAGTTGAAGCAGTGGCTCGATTTTTGTTTCCCACTTCTAACCAATCAACAATATCCATATGAGATCCAACATTATGTCTATAATAATAAACGATTTCTTCACATGCATATATACAAATAACATGCATATATACAAATAATATGTATAAATATATATAAAATGTATAAATATAAATAAAATGTATATATACAAACAACATGTATATATACAAACAACATGTATAAATATAAAATAACATATATACAAATAACATGAATATATACAAATAACATATATATATACAAATAACATGTATATATACAAATATTCCAAACCAATATCTAAAGTCAACTAATTATTGCTAAATAAAGTCAACTCACTTTTGTTAACAATAAACACAAGTTAAGAAACAATAAAACACAACATAAAAAAAATGAAAGGGAATGACCTACAATGCCAAACCTTGAACATAAGGACCATAGTCTGGATGTTCTCGAACACATAAACGAGACTTAGTATCATTCACTGAGAGCAAGTCAAAGATCTTCTCATTGTATATCTCAAAAAAACTGATTTGTGCAGAATACTTTTTCTAAAATATAGTTATGTTGTAGGATTAATCTATTAATTTATAATATAAAAATAATGCAAACATAAGCAAGATCATGTAATTATATTATAAAAAATTATTTTAAAGAAATAAAAAATAAGGAATTATTTTAGATACATAAAAATCTTTGAGATGAAATTTTTTGTTAGATTATAAACCTCAGCAGGAATAATAGATATTTTTATAATTTATAAATGTAAAATAAAAAAAAAGATTATTTTTTCAACTTGTTTCATTTAAAGTAATCTTCTTAAGCTTTTTAATATTTATTTCTTATTTGTGTGGAATGGTTGAGAGAAAACAAGACCAAAAAACAATTATTTGTAATTAAACAATAAATGAATGACTTTGAATACAGTTGATACTTTATTCTACTGTATTTGTATGCATTGCTTTTAAATAAAGTTTTTCCTTAAAAGTTAAACAATTATTTACAATAAACTTGTATGGCAGTAAATATATTGTTTCCTATTTTTATTTATTTTTTTTACATTTATTTTATATTGATTTTCTTTTTTATACTATAAATCTAAAATAAATTTTTTTTAATAGTATTAAATTTTTATGATAAAAATTTTTAAATGGTTTCCACTTTCTAAATAGTCAAATTGACTTTTTAATTGACAACTGTCAATAATAATAATATTTCAGTGAAAGTTTTTATATTTTATTTAAAATACATTTAATTCCTGGTAAGTCAAATACTGGTTAACTCAAACTTTTGTTGTCTCAAACTGTTTCATTTGGTCCCTTGAAATTGTGTAATTGATTACTATTAAAAATATCTGGTTAAGTGAAACCCTAGATAACTGAAACTTCGATAAGTCAAACAAACTATTTGTCCCCTTTCAGCAAACTTTTTTGGTTAACGCAAACTTTTTGTATGAGAAACTTTTTTGATTAACCCAAATTAAGAAATTTATATAAATAAAAATAACTTGATTAAATTTTTTTTAGAAGTCATTCTATATAAAACATAAATAATAGTAGCCTAAAATTTTTTATATTTTTTCATTGTATTTAAATCTGAATAGAATAGATCGTTGTGTGTACAACAGAGTTGGCATTAAAAAGACCCGCCCAATAAAACCAGCCTTAAAAAAAACAATAAAACCAAGGCAATCCAAGTTTAATAATTTTATGAACTATTATAACCAACATTAACATTAAAACTATTATATTATTAACTAAATTATTATTAACTAACATAACCAACATAACAATAACACATCATTTCAATCAGTTATAATAACAGCTATCAGAGCAGATTTAATATAGCAGACTAATATTTGAATCATTATTTAGAAATACATTATCACAAGTTATTCAAATATTTTTACAGATTGAGATCTGTAAAAATATTTGACAAGAGGAGAAGGCCACTATAGTTAAGGAAACTATCTTATTGTGGTTACAACCCTCTCTCAACTCTTCAACTCTAAAACACAAACCTTAATGAACTAGGCCACTGTGCAGAGAAAAAAGTTTGTTCATTTGAATTTCAAGTTCAAATTTGAAGTTCAATTGAAACTTCAGTTACTTCCTCCCATTCTCCAACTTTCTTTTTCCCATTTCTCATTAACATTTTTAATTATAAAAAATATTAATTTTAAATCTAAAATAAATCAGTACATATAGGTTTAATGTAAAAAAAAAAATTTCTATTACAGTTTTAAATTTTTTCTATTACAGTTTAAATTTTTAATAAACATTAAATATTTATTAAAGTATTAAATTTTTAGTATTTTAGTATTAAATAATTTTTTAAGTTTTTTTTTTTAACATCTTCACTCCAACAAGGCTGCAAGCAACTTCTAATTAGTGTTGGAAGTTACTGGAAGAGAAAAGATGAAGATTGTAGAGCAAGATAACGATTGACAGAAAACTTGAAAGATTGCAAATTATATGAATCAGGAAAGCAAGATGAAGGAAGCAAATTCCAAAGAACTGATGTTTGAGGAAAAAAACTAGACGACTAAGAGTTTTTGGAGCACTTAAGAACAGTAACAAAAAAAGGATGAGACTTAATTGAATGACGAGTAACACGAGAATGAATTTCAGTAGATGGCACAAGAGACGCTAGCTCTTTAAAGCAGTGCCCATTATAGCATTTGTAGAAAATATTCAAATAATTAAATTTTTAGTATTAAATAAATTTAAAATAAATTTTTAGTATTTTAGTATTAAATTTTAAATAAACAGTATTAAATTTTTTCTATTACAGTTTTAAATTATGTTAAAAAATCTTTTTCAAAATAATTTGTAAAATTCTTGTTATAAATTATTAAATAAAATGTATATTTAATGTTTATACTTTACATTGAATAAAAAAAAATCGCCTCAACTTGAACTAATACCTCATATCAGTCAAAGTTAGACTTAATTGGAATTCTTTAGCCTAACATTTGTTGACTAAAGCGAATTCCATTTTCCACAAGTCGAGCCATTTTTCTTGGACCCTTGAAGGTTTAAGTTATCTTAAACATTAAACTTAGTACTTGAACATTTTTTTAAACTTTTTGACATGATTTTAGCATTTAGTCTTCTAATTAATAAAAGTATAAATAAAGTGCATAAAAATACAAAATAGAAAAAAACCACCAAATTGTTTTAAGCTATCCTTTACAAATACTTGTGGCCTTTGAAGTAACTTAACATCTGTTAAATTTTTATCTTTTGTAAAATTCTCCAGACCTATTTGCATTTATTGAGACTAATTTCGACTGTTTCTTCTTTGGATTCTTTTGTATTGGTGCTGGTGACAATTACCATTCTACTTGCAGAGACTCTAGTAATCATATGCTTGGGCTGGGCATATATTTACATATCAACTTAGATATCAAATCTGTCTAATATATAGAATGGGCATATATTTATATATCAACTTATCGAATCAGGCTAACAAATAAAAAGAGTATATATTTACATATCAACTTATCGAATCGGGCTAATAAATAAAAAAGGCATATATTTACATATCAACTTCCATTTCAAATCTGTCTGATAAATAAAAAAGGCATATATTTATATATCAACTTACGTATCAGGATGTAAAGTAACATATACATTAGGGTGGGCTGACAAACAACAAATTTTAAAATTTGTCTTCTAATACTACTAAAGACATTCTATATAATAAATAACACTAGATAAAATAAAGATAAAAAACTTTAAAATAAAATTATTTTTGTTTGGCCCCAACAACTTTTGTCATTTTTTATATAAATACATTTAAATTTTTTTTTTTTCTTTATTGTGGTTGCAACCATCTCTCAACTCTTTAACTCCAAAACACAAGCCTTGACAAACAAGGTTGCTGCGTGAGAAACAAGTTGATGTAAAACAAGCAACATAGCGGGAATCAAACACTTTTTGGCCCATAACCTGCAATAACTTGTAAACAACTAATTTACATGAAAAAAGCTTTAATATGATTGTAAAATAAGAGCATGGACATTGCAGGCTGTTAAAAGTTTTATATGTATAAAAGTTAAAAGTTTTATAGGTAGTGTTAAAAGTTTTATAGTTTTATAGTTTTAAAAGTTTTATAGTTTTAAAAGTTTTATAGTTTTAAAAGTTTTATAGTTTTAAAAAGTTTTATAGTTTTAAAAGTTTTATAGTTTTAAAAGTTTTATAGTTTTAAAAGTTTTATAGTTTTATAATTTTATAGTTTTATAGTTTTAAAAGTTTTATAGGTAGTTTTATAGGTAGTAGTTAAAAGTTTTATAGGTAGTTAAAAGTTTTATAGGTAGTGGTGTAGTGGTAGAGCGCTCATAACCTTCATAAACGAGTGGTTCGGAGTTCGATCCTCACCACATCCCTGGTAGTACCGCACTCAACTCGTTTCTCCGCGCAGCGGCCTTGTTTATCAAGGTTCGTGTTTCGGAGTTATAGAGTTGAGAGAGGGTTATAGCCACAAATAAGTAGCCTCCTCGTCTGTAGTGGCCTTCTCGGCCTTGAGGAGGTGAATTAAAATAAAAAAAATAAAAAAAAATAAAAAAAAAAAAGTGTTGAGGGTACGATTTCTATTTAAACTTTTGTCCTGGAATATCACGAGACAATATCCAACAATGGTCAGCCATCTTTCATAAAATATATGATAACAAACTTCTGTAGCTCTAATGTCTTGGTAAAAGCCTTCCTCTTGCTTATCACTCACTGCAAAGTTTTCGGGAAAGTAGTCTAGATGGGAATGCAGGAAGTGCATTTTCAAAGACATTGAACAATCTTTATAAGCATCAATGAGTTTTGCAACTCGATCTTTTTATGTATGGATTTTTTATCCCTCAGAAATTTGTGCATACCCATTTAAAAGCCAGCCAAGCTTACAATCTCCTTTTAAATTAAGTATTGAAAAAATGCTCCTGGAGGATTTGTGGCCCAACAAAAATTCCTGCCTTAACTTTTGTGCACTAAGTTTTAAAAATATTAAAAAAAGGTATTGAAACATTTAAGAATTAAATTTACCCATCAAATTTAACGTGAAGAGCAGGTTGAATGGACACTGCTTGTTCCATACGTAGACCTCAGAGCTCATTCATGTTTGCTGTAATATATTTCGTTGTGGCATGACTGTCCCACATGCAAATGAAACAGCAATATTTTGTAATGTCTGCATGCCCATTAATATACCTATAACTTTAAGATCTCCTTATATTTAATTAATGGCAGATGTGCCATTGACCTAATATACTATTGATATACTACTTAAGGCAATCAAATACAGTCGTACTGGCTTTAAGTGGTATACCCATGTTGTCCTATGTCTCTTTTAGATGTACAAAATGGCAATAAGATTGGATGGCTTGACATTTCTATTATGCAAAAGTACAGCTTTCAGGCTTTTCTTCAAAGAACCAATAAAAAGACGCCAGTCAGATGCTGTATACACCTGAGATAATTCTGTGACTATGTATATAATAGCAATAACAAATAGGGCCATCACCAGTAAAGTATGATGCTCTATTTATATTTTGATTTTGGTAGTAACTAATATAAATATTTTTGTCAAGAAACTGTAAATAATATTATTAAAACATTTATTAAATACTATTTTTATAATAGTTATTATTATAAGACAATAGTTTTGCATTATTAGATAATTTAAAAGTATTTTGGTTAAAATAAATCATAAGAATAATTATAATTCCTAAAGTGGCCAAAACTACATAAAAAATGAACTATAAATGACTGTAAACGCAGACTGACATGTCGAAGTTTTAAAGCTTCGAAAATAAGATTGTTTGACTGCAAGAAAAAAATTGTTTAATTTACGATAAAATAGTGTGTATTCTTGACTGTAAAACATGGTGGATGTGGTGTTGAGGTGTGAGGCTGTTTTGGGTAGAATGCCACAGGTGACTTTGTGAATAAATAGAGGGAATAATGACAAAAGTAGTTTACTTGTACATTTAAAAAATTATGCTACAACTTCGGAAAAATGGGTTAATGAGAAACAATTCATTTTTTCAAAAGAAAATGGTTTGAATCTAAAACATATTTTTCAAAAACTTGTTCAAGTTATTAGACTGAGTTCAAGAATGATAAAATATTAAATAAAATGATTTAGCCTCCCCAATCACAAGAGAGAGATCTATATGGGAGGATCTATATCATATGGGAGGATTTTAATCGAGATATAAATATATGAGATGATTTTAAACAAAAGGATTTACATGGGAGTAATTAAAAATAATGTCAAAAACTAATGAATATGTATGGCGGTTATTGTCGCTAAGAGTGATTAAAAGACAAGTAAATTATAAATTAATCTACTCGAACTAATATTAATTTTTTTTTAAGCCTATCAAAAAGAAAGATAACATATAATCCAGGTAGACTTTGTTCACAGTTTCTTTCCCAATAGTAAGTAAAACTATGATATCTTATTTCGAAAAGTACAACCATTCAATTAATTATAAACAGTAGTGTATATATGTATATATAAATTTAAATAAACTATTATTTTTAAAATTAATAAATAATGCTATTTTCATCAACAAAGATCACCTCTGAGCACTGTTGTTGCCCATTTGATATTATTTGAAATAAACTGTTAGAAAAACGCGGTATAATTCCTTCATCTTGATCATAACCCATCATCCTACAAACAAGAAAATCTTTTTTAATTTTTTTATTTAATTTCTTTATTTACGTAATAACTTATTATACCATAAACATAGAGCAACTCCTCTATCTTCTTTATAATTCATCGTCAAATAGAAAAAGGCACAACATAAATATAAGTTTAAATTCCAATACTTTTAAAATTACCAGTATTTTTTTAAATAAAATATATATATATTTTTTAAATCTTCACTTCCAAAAAGGTTGCAAGCAACCAGTATTAGAGTTGGAAGTTACTTGGAAGAGAAAAGATGAAATTTATAGCGCAAGATAACAATCAACAGACAACTTAGAAGATTGCAAACTATATGAATTAGGAAAACAAGATGAAGGGAGCAAATTTCAAAGGACTGATGTACAAGGAAAAAACCAAGATGAATACAAATTTTTAGAGCACTTAGAAACATTCAGAGTAAAAGGATAAGACTTAGTTGAATAAAGAGTAACACAAGAATGAAATTAAGTAGATTGCACAAGAGGCGCTAGCTCTTTAGAGCAGTGCCCATTATAGTATTTATAGAAAAAAGAAAGAGAAGCAACATTACAACTATGTGATAATGGTTAGAGGTTGGCTGCAAGAGCAGGTCCAACTATGTTTAGAATGCTTTTTTGCACCTTATCTAAAAGAGAAAGAGCATCATTGGAAGATCCACCCCAAATATGGCAAAAGTATTCCATACATGGACTGATTTAAGATTTATAGAGATCAAGAATAGAATCCTGAGTAAGAGAGTGGTGAGCACGATAAATTGATAAAACCATAGCATATGCTAATTTTGCAATGGATTTGATATATGGTTTCTAAGAAAGATCGGAAGTAACAGTTAATCCTAGAAGACAAAGGGTAGATGACTCAACGAGTATATTACCGTTCATAAATATAGGAAGATCTAGATCATTGCAATAACGATTAACTGAAAATAATTAAGTTTTATCTGAGTTAAAGTTGAGCAACCACTAAGAGCCTCATGCTGAAGCAGAAGTAAGATTCTTTTGAAGCTCAAATGCCTTCCCTAAGCAATCAGAGAGAGTTGGTTTCTTATGTAGACAAAAATAAATGATAGTATCATCAGTAAAAAATGCTTAAATTTGTGGGAGATTGTTCATGTAAATTATAAAAAGTATAGGGCCGAGGATGGCACCTTGAGGAACTCCTGAAGTTACAGGATATGGAGAAGAGTGTTGTCCATCAAGGAAAACATACTAGAGAAGGAAGTTAAGGAAGACCTTTACACTAGAGAAGGAAGTCAACAATCTTAAAAATAATACCTGATACACCATAAGAAGAAAGCTTATGGAGAAGACCAGCATGCCAAACTTTATCAAAAGCTTTAGAATCGTCAAGAGCAATAGCCTGAACCTCTCCATATCTATCTAATGCACAATAAAAGCTATCAGTTATTACCTAATGCAAGATAAAAGCTATCAGTTGTCTGGACCACAAGCTGTAGGAGTCTAAGCAGGAAGATACAGAAGCTGGAGTGATACGAAAGTCAGGCAATGGATTAAACTTTTTCTTGGCTATATCAGGTAGAACGCAACTAGTGGAATCAAGAGATAAATTGATGAGTAGTTCTTAGCAAACAATTCAGCTTTGTCTTTAGGTGAGGTGACAAAATCTGAACCATACAAGAGAAGTGGAATAATAGATTTACCCTTGTTATAGATACTGTTAAAGATTCTCCTGAAGTGATGAGAGCTTAATTTTTGAGATGAAATACGAGATTTCGTGACCTGAGAACAGCAAACTTTGGCATTAGACAAGACCTTTTTATAATGGTTTCTAGCAGTAGTAAACAGATGTCTATTTTCTGGAGAATTATAAAAATACTCATCTTGGGCAGATGTTACATGCATCCAGCTGCTGCCTTGTAGAAGGCCTCCTAGGCAAAGACTTAAGGGGTAAACAGATTCTATCTGTTGACCAGCCTCGCACCCCTTCCTCATCTATTAGGCTGGCGCAGATGTATTTTTAATACATTGTTTCCAGTTTAGGATGTTGAACGCTGGATCTTCTTGACTCAATGCGTGGGTATTGCTTGTGTCTCTATTTTTATGACTGGGCAACTCATTCTATTATCTCCTAATGAGGGTACAGCTCTAAAACTCAGTTTTATGGTTCTGAGGCCGGCTGGTAGTCAGGTTTCCCGAACTCTGTGGTAGCTCTCAGAGAGGCTGATTCCATCAACAGCCGAAAAATATCAGAGTACTAACAGTGCCATGTTGCGCATGGATGGTGTCCCTGTTTGTACTTTTCGTGTGCATTGCAGAGGCCACATTTGGAGCCCTTTGTTACGGCTTAGGGTTTATTAATAGTAATGAGGCTATTGCTTAGTTGTTAAATAGTGTACTGAGTACTATCTAGACTTGAGTCAAGTTCTTTTTAAATTTAAAATGACTAAAGTACCTAAAACTAAAAAACACAAAAAACCATCGTCATCACCAAGTTCTCTAAACCTATCATTTACTAATATTCGTGGTCTTCGAAGTAACTTTTCTTCTGTTGAGTCTTATCTCTTGCAAAGTTCACCAGACCTACTTGCTCTTTGTGAGACTAATTTGAGTTCGGCTAACCCATCTTGTGATCTTAGTGTTGATGGTTATCTTCCTTTAATTCGTTAAGACTCCAATAATCACATGCTTGGCCTGGGCATCTACATTCGTAAGAACTCACCCATTTGTCGTGAAACTAGGTTTGAATCTACAGACTATTCATTTATGTGCTTTCGTTTAGCACAACTTCACTCTATCGCCTTTCTCTTTGTTCTATATCGCTCTCCTTCATCCCAAGATTGCACTATTCTTGATGTTATTTCTGATCAAATTGACCAAGCCCTCTCTCTTTATCCATCGGCCAATATCGTCGTTGTTGGTGACTTTAATGCCCATCACACCGATTGGCTTGGCTCTAGTGTCAGTGACTCTGCTGGCGTTAAGGCCCTCAACTTTTGCCTTTCTCAATCTCTAACTCAAATAGTCAACTTTCCAACTCGTTTTCCAGACAACCCTAATCATTTACCTTCTCTACTCGACTTATGTCTTGTTTTGGATCCTAGTCAGTGCTCAATTTCTCCACATTCACCCTTAGGTACTTCTGATCACGGTTTGATCTCTCTAAAACTATTATCAAATTCTTCTACTTCATCAGAATCCCCCTATCATCGTACCACATACAACTACCTTAAAGCTGACTGGGACTCTTTCCGTGATTTTCTTCATGATGGCCCTTGGGTAGAAATCTTTCATCTTCCTGCTGACAAATGTGCTTCTTACATAACTTTGTGGATTCAGGCTGGCATGGAATCTTTTATTCCCTCTCGACGATTCCAGGTCAAGCCTCACTCTTCTCCTTGGTTTTCCTCACATTGCGCTGCAGAATTTCTAATCGAAACCGTTACTTCCATATCTATCAGCAAAACAATTCTCCAGAAAACAGACATCTGTTCACTATCGCCAGAAACCATTGTAAAAAGGTTTTGTCTGACGCCAAAGCTCGCTATTCCCAGGTCATTAAATCTCGTATCTCATCACAAAAATTAGGCTCTCGAGACTTCTGGAGAATCTTTAACAGTATCAATAATAAGGGCAAATCTGTTATTCCTTCTCTCTTGTATGGTTCAGACTTTGTCACCTCACCTAAAGACAAAGCTGAATTGTTTGCTAAGAACTTTTCATCAATATCATCTCTTGATTCCACTAGTTGCGTTTTACCTGACATAGCTGTCAAACAGATTGATCCCTTGCTTGACATTCGCATCACTTTAGCTTCTGTATCTAAAGTAATTTCCTGCTTAGACTCTTCAACAGCTTGTGGTCCTGACAACATTCCTGTTGTAGTCTTGCAGAGGTGTTCTCCGGAGCTTTCATCCATACTTTCTAAACTATTTAACAAGTGCTTATCAGAGTCCTGTTTTCCATCATGCTGGAAAGCAGCATCTGTTATCCCTATTTTCAAAAATTCCGGAGAGCGATCTGATTCATTTAACTACCGTCCCATTAGTCTTCTTCCTGTCATAAGCAAGGTTTTTGAATCTTTAATCAACAAACACTTAATCTCTCATCTTGAATCAAATAACTTACTTTCTGATCATCAATATGGATTTCGGTCTTCTCGTTCTACAGCTGATGTGCTAACAGTAATAACCGATAGGTTTTACCGTGCATTAGATAGAGGTGGAGAGGTTAAGGCTATCGCACTTGACATTTCTAAAGCTTTTGATAAAGTTTGGCATGCTGGTCTTCTCCATAAGCTTTCTTCTTATGGTGTAGCTGGTAACGTCTTTAAGATTATTGAGTCCTTTTTTTCCAATCGTAGTATAAAAGTTGTCCTCGATGGACAACACTCTTCTTCACATCCTGTAACTTCAGGGGTTCCTCAAGGTTCAATCCTTGGCCCTATACTTTTTTTAATTTACATTAACGATCTTCCAGATATCCTCACATCTAAGGTGGCATTATTCGCTGACGACACTACCATTTACTCTTGTCATGATAAGAAGCCTACACTCTCTGATTGCTTGGAGGGGGTATCTGAGCTTGAAAAGGATCTCACTTCTGCTACAGCATGGGGCTCACAGTGGCTGGTGAACTTTAATTCAGATAAAACTCAATTTTATTCGGCCAATCGTTATCGTAATAATTTAGATCTTCCTATATTTATGAATGGTAATGTACTAGATGAGTCATCTACCATTCATCTTCTAGGATTAACTCTTACTTCTGATCTTTCTTTTAAACCGTATATCAAATCCATTGCAAAATTAGCATCTGCTAAGGTTGCATCTCTTTATCGAGCTCGACACTTTCTTACTCCAGATTCTATTCTCTATCTCTATAAATCTCAAATCCGTCCCTGTATGGAATACTGTTGCCACATCTGGGGCGGATCTTCTAATGATGCTCTTTCTCTTTTAGACAAGGTGCAAAAACGAATTGTAAACATAGTTGGACCTGCTCTGGCAGCCAATCTCCAACCTTTGTCACATCGTCGTAATGTTGCTTCTCTTTCTCTTTTCTACAAATACTATAATGGGCACTGCTCTAAAGAGCTAGCGTCCCTTGTGCCATCTACTAAAATTCATTCTCGTGTTACTCGCCATTCAATTAAGTCTCATCCTTTTTCTGTGACTGTTCCTAAGTGCTTCAAAAACTCTTATTCTTCTAGTTTTTTTCCTCGAACATCAGTTCTTTGGAATTCGCTTCCTTCATCTTGCTTTCCTGATTCATATAATTTGCAATCTTTTAAGTCATCAGTCAATCGTTATCTTGCTCTACAGATTTAGTCTTTTCTCTTCCAGTAACTTCCAACTCTTATAGTGGTTGCTTGCAGCCTTGTTGGAAGTGAAGATGTTAAAAAAAAAAAAAAAAAAAAAAAATTATTTTGCTAAATAAGCATGGTTAGAAACACCTAAAGGTGAATGTGGAGAAACTGAGCACTGATTAGGATCTGAAACAAGATATAAGTCGAGTAGAGAAGATAAATAATTTGCATTGTCTGGAAAGTGAGTTGGAAAGTTGACTACTTGTGTTAGAGATTGAGAAAAGCAAAAGTTGAGGACCTTAATGCCTACAGAGTCACTCACTAGAGCCAAGTCATTCAATGTGATGAGCATTTAAGTCACCAACAACAATGATGTTGGAGAAAGAGAAAGGACTTGATCAATTTGTTCAGAAATAACATTGAAAAGAGTGCAGTCTTGAGATGAAGGAGAGTGATACAAAACAAAGAGAAAGACAATAGAGTGAAATGGCGATAAACAAAAGCACATAAAAGAATAGTCTGTGGATTCGAAATTAAATTAATATCCCAAGATCCCAAGAAATGGGTGAATTTTTACAAATGTAAATGCCCAGGCCAAACGTGTGACTATTGAAGACTTTACAAATTAAAGGAAGATAACCATCAACACTAAGATCACAAAATGAGACAGCCGAACTCAAAATAGTCTCACAAAGTGCAAGTAGGTTTGGTAAAATTTGCAAGAGATAAGAGTCAACAGAAGAAAAGTTACTTAGAAGACCACAAATATTAGTGAATGACAGATTTAGAGAACATGGCAATGATGATGGTTTTTTGTGTTTAATAGTTTTTGGTACTTTAGTCATTTTTAAATTTGCTAAAGTACTTGACTCAAAGCGCAGATAGTACTCAGTACACTATTCAATAGTCCAAGAAAATGCCTCATTACTAATAACAAACCCTAAGCTGAAACAAAGGGCTCGTAATGTGGTCTCGACAGTGCACACCAAAAGTATAAACAGAAACACCATCCATACGCAGCATGGCGCTGTTAGTACTCTGATGTTTTATAGCTGTTAATGGAATCAGAGAGCTATCTTTGGAAAGAATTTGGGAAACTTGACTACCAGCTGGCCTCAGAACCATAAAACTGAGTTTTAGAGCTGTATCCTCATTAGGAGGAAATAGAATAAGTGGCCTAGTTATAAAAACAAGCAAGCAAAATCCATGCATTGACACAAGAAAAACTCATTGAGTCATGAAGATCTAGTATTCAATATCCTAAACTAGAAACAATGTATTATAAATATATCTATGCCAGCCTAGTAGATGAAGAAGAGGTACGAGGTTGGTCAACATATAGAATCTGTTGCATAGAAGGCCTTCTACAAGACAGTAGCCGGATGCGTTTAACATCTCCCCAAGATGAGCACTTTTGTCAAAAACAACAACTCTAGCCTTTACTCAACTAAGAGTTTCAAGGCAGGGGGTGTTTTAAGTCGGAGTTGGCTTCTCCCAGTCTTTGCCTAAAAAAGCGTATCCTTGTAGGATACGCTTGATTGAACTTATCTTAATTTGCCACACACAGACACTTATTTAAATTTTTATGTTAAACACAGTACATAGATATATGTTAAATATGATATTGAGATTTATATTAAAGTAAGGGATGTTACCTCCTCTAGCAAAATGAGGCATTCATCACAAAAGTTAAAACAGAAATTATCAAAAGCTCTTACCTAGTCAATAAAAATATGAATAATGGATTTTGAAAAATAATAATAAAAAATATCATATTTCATAAAAAATTTATTTATTTAATATTATCTAATATATTTCATGAAAAAAAATTGATGATGAGTTGTCATAACAAATGTAATTTTGAAAAAGCAGCTTGGTATTTTATTAATTTTTTCAATTAGTAAATTTTTAGAATTTTGTAAAGATTCCAAAAGTATTCTTAAGGAGTATTCTTAAGGAGTATTCTTAAGGAGTACTCTTAAAGAGTAATCTTCAAGACTAGTCATTAAGAATATTCTTTAAGAATATTTTTAAAGAGTATTCTTTAAAAGTATTCTTCAAAAGTATTCTTCAAGACTAGTCTTTAAGAGTATTCTTAAGAAGTATTCTGCAAAAGTATTCTTTAAAAGTATTCTTCAAGACTAGTCTTTAATAGTATTATTGGAGAGTATACTTCTAGAGTATTTTTCGAGAGTATTCTTCAAAAGTATTTTGTAAGAGTATTCTTCAAGCACTCTATAACAATCAATGTCAAATTTTAATTAGAAACAATCAAAAATAAACAGCAATGGCTGAGGGTTTTTTACAGTTAATAAATGATATACTTTTTTTTTCTTTTCTTTTCATTTAAATATTTAGACACTTTCAGATAAAAAAAAATCTATAAAATCTATTTGCTAGATCAAAATTAGATTTAAAAATCAAAGTAAAATATACTTTATATTAAAAACTATTAAAAAAGTACAAAATGCATTTAACCAATGCAATTTAAAATATCAATATCTTTGATATTTTACAGAAGTTGACAAAATGTAATGCTTTAGAAAGATTTTTAAAGCATTAATCTTCATATGTGGTAAAAATTGATGACTTTAACTTAAATTTTGACTTCTGGAATAAGCAAAGTAACATTCACAAAAGTAAAAAAAAAATTATAATAAAAATAAAAGTAAAACAATAATTAGTAACTAATCCTTACGTATATGATTTTCCCGAGCCAGTCTAAATAAAAACATAAAAAATAAATTAAAATTTTTGAAAAATTTAAATTATAATAATTTCATAAAATTTCCTTTAACTAAAACTTACTTTATGATATTATTATACTAGAATTTTTTTATTGCATTAAAAAATATCTTTATATAAACAAAATCTACAATAACCAGTAGATTCAGCTCACAATCAGGAGGTTTTATGTTCCACCCTACATCTCTGGAAGCACAACGCTCAACCTCCTCACAGCAACCCTATCTAACAAAGTTCATGTTTTGGAGTTAAGAGTTAAGAGAAAGTTTCAAATTAAAAAATTAATTAATTAATGAGTCGCCTCCTTAACTGTAATGGTGCTCTCTAGATTAGAGGTAACCTCCTCTTTAGATTGAAGGTAACCCCTTTCTAGATTAAAGGTGTGTTAATTAAATTAAAAAACAAAAAAAAACTTCAACTTCATTAAATAAAGTAATTGACAAAAGATTTTAATAAGACAACCAACAGTGGCGTAAATATGACAACCAACAGTGGCGTGCTGATCAAAGCTTTTTATCTTGGAACTTTTCAAAAAAAAAAAAAATTTTTAATTTCTTCAAGATATTCTTTAAATGATCAACAAATAATTTTTAATTCATTTTATTTATGCTTTCATAAATTAAATTATTTAATTATTTGATTTAAGATAATGCTCAGTTACTTGACATAATAAAAATATTTTTCAACACAAATATTAAATTATTTTATAATAAAAACTAGGGCTGTACCGGATTTAATTTTTTCAAATCCGGCCGGAGCCGGATTTGCCGAATTTCTACTGACAGATCCGGCCGGAATCGGAGCCGGATTTCAAAACAAAACTACAGGAGCCAAAATCCTGCACATCCCTACTTGGTGTTGAGCATGGTCAACAATGTGGACTATTCAGAATACCAAGTGACTGCTGTTTTCTGTTAAACTTCATTGTTGTTATTTAAAAAGTTTTATAGCAATTTCTATATATAAATTAATAGAAATTCTAAAGAAATTCTATAGGCCATATGTTTTAAAAGTTTATAGTAATTCTATTGAATTTTTTTTCCGTGATTTTGTCACTCCGCCACTGTAGTGGATCATTGTGTCTATTTATTTTTGGTTCTTTCGGATATTTCCTTAGCTGAGTTTCAATGCCTTTTAGTAATTGTGGTTTATGTGCCCTGCCACCAGCGGACGTAGACTGAATAATTTTATCAATAAATTCCCAGAGTAATGATGATGATGATGTAGAAAAATTATTAAGCCCGGCTTATTTTGGTGGATTTTCTTCAGTTTTGTTCAATCTTCTGTTCAGCATGCTCAGATTGACTTCAATCTTGTTTTTTCAGCTGTCAGTGTTGCTTGTAATGAGGAGAATTTAGTTTTAAATTGTGAGTCAACCAGCCTCGTCAGTATATAAAGAGGTTTCTCTTTTCAATGCTTTTAAAACGCTTACCCAATCACTTGATTAGGGTTGACATCATAGTCTTTATACCTGCATCATTGTAGAATATCGTGTGTCTTCCCTTCAGAATTTTTTGTTGCGTTGTTGTTTGAAATTAGACTAAGCTTATTAAATTATAAAGAAATATAAATACAAATACCAAAACAAATATGAGGTTAATAAATAATAGAATTACAAAAAAAATTGATTTTTATAAATAAAATATTAGGTATACATGTAAACACGGGCAAAAAAAATGTAATAAATATTTGACAAAATTCTAAACTCCGGCTAAAATTATGCCGGATTTGCTAAGTTTTTGCCGGAGCCGGATTTGGGCCGGATTTGTAAAAACGGCCGGATTTCGGCCGGAGCAGGAGCCGGAGCCGAAATCCGGTACAGCCCTAATAAAAACAAATAATTGTTGTAAAAACAAAAAATGTTTTTTGGCAATAAAAGTTATAAATTTTTCTACATTCTTAAAAAGTATCCATTAATTTTTTTACATAATCCTAAACATTCGAACTTCGTTTTGAATCTATCATTATTACACTCCAACTTTGTTTTAAATCTATCGTTATTACATTTGAACTTCATTTTAAATCTATCATTATTACATTTTTTAAACAATGTTAATGTAGACTAAAACCATACCTTTTTAAAATGCAATGTAACACTAACTAGTTTACTCTAAGTTACATGTTAATGTAAAACATAGCATTTATACATTTATGGGCCTTCAAATCATGCATTTATGGTAAAATCCCACATAAATAAGCCTATTTAGAACAATCCTGCATGGGATTTTCAGAGCCAGCACGCCACTGACAACCAATAGTATGCATGAAAAGCAAAACAAGTATTTTAAGCAATTGCATATAAACAAAAGAGTTTTACAATACAAAAACTAACCTGCCCGTATGCAAAAAGACATGTATTATATCCATCTAATGACCAGTTAAGTAAAGGTTTTGCAATTTTGTTAAAAATCTCTTCTTGATCTACATAAGATGCTGATTGATTCTGTCTATCAAAAGACCAAAGTGAATAATCAAAGTTAAATTCATAATTGTAACCATTTTCACTGTGTAATATGGTAGTATTTCCATTCATTGAAATTGCATTTTTATGACCAGAAACAATCTCACTGTTAAAATAAAATTAATAACTGATAGTTAATTTGAAGGTTTTATAATTTCTGTTTGATAATTCTATATAAGTAATTTTCTAAATAATAATATTCCATATAAAAAATTCATTTTTTGAATACTATTATTTTGTTAAGCTACTTTTTCCTTCATATATATATATATATATATATATATATATATATATATATATATATATATATATATATATATATATATATATATATATATATATATATATATATATATATATATATATATATATATATATATATATATATATACAGCCTTCGCAATTAGGAAGAATGTGTTCGGCAATAATTTGCCGACCTCACTCTTTTAAAGCTCAACATCAGGTTGGCAAAAACTATTTGATACAAAGGTCTAACCACAAAACATAGAAACGAGGTCAGCAATTGTTTGCCGACCTCAAGCACTTTCAGGTTGGCAGTTAGGTCGGCATTGCCGAATACTGACCCTAATTCCTAGGGTTGATATATATATATATATATATATATATATATATATATATATATATATATATATATATATATATATATATATATATATATATAAATATATATATACATATATATATATATATATATATATATTATATATATATATATTATATATATATATATATGTATATGTATATGTATGTATATATACATAATAATATATATATATTATATGTATATATATGTATATGTTACATAACAACATTTATGTGTGCTACCTTTTTTTATACTAATTAATTTGAAGATTTGATTTTTCATACTTTTCATAAGATTTTCCAAACAAACCTTTGAAATACCGTTCCATACTTGTTAGATAGATGTTTTAATTTCTTGTACTGTATTATACTGTCTATAATTTCCATATATAGTTTGCGCCGATATTCCCTATTAATTTTCAATAGGGTTTAAGTCAGGTGAACATGATGGCCAATACAAAACATTTATATTTTTTTTCCTGGAACCACTTTTTTACATTTTGTACCTTGTGTGAACTGCTGTATTATCTTGTTGGAAAACCCAGTTTTCATTAGGTAAATCTTCACTAAACTCTATTAAAGCATCTTCTAAAAGATCTACGTAATTTCTTGCATTCATTTTTGTTGTAATAAAACATATTAGAATTTTGCCATGGAAACAAAATGTGACCCACACCATAACTGTCCTTCCTCCGAAGTTATTTCTTGCATTCATTTTTGTTGTAATAAAACATATTAGAATTTTGCCATGGAAACAAAATGTGACCCACACCATAACTGTCCTTCCTCCGAAGTTATGACTCATAGCTATGCTATCTTTTTTTTTCAAACCATGCCAATAATACTTTAAACCATCAGGCCCATCTAAATTAAACTTTTTTTTATCTGAAAAAATAACACATTTTTGTCAATGGTGGTCTTGTAATCATTCTTTTCGATTGGAATCATCCTGATTTTGAAAAAATTTGTTGGACACATCTTGTAGTCACAGGTAATTCAAATTCAGTCCTTATTTGTCTTGCTGTTCGTACTCCGGATGACGCCAAATGCAAAAATGAAGAATGTTGCCTTTTGCTTTTTGTAAGCAACAATTTTTGCTTTTTCTTCCCCATTTAACACCTTTCTGTGTGCCATTAAATTAAATAACAAATCTTAATAAAAAATACACAAGTCTTCCATATAAAATAAACAAATTAAAAAATAACAATTAACTTTCTCCAATTAAAAAATGCCACACTCACATAAGTAAATCACTATATCTCTTACCTCATATTTACCTTTAAAGGGAGAAAATTTGGAGGAAGTCCAAATTTTTTTGAGGTCAAACTGGTAATTGAAATTGTAATTTTTGAAGATGTGAATATATCACATCTTAACCCAACCAGTGCAATCCTTTGAACCACATACATTAGAGTGTCCCAAAAACATTTTTTTTTTTAAATTTCAATGTGCTCTCCACTGATCCCCATTCTATAGGTCCTAAATAGTTACCAAAATCTTTTTTTTTATTTTTTAATGACTAGAAGTATTAGATGTAAATTCTGAGTTTTTTGGTATTTTACACATGTGTATTTACATAAAAACAGCGCTATCTAGTATTTCAATAGGTTTTAATATGTTGTAATAATTGGTACACAAGTAATTGCCATAGGACATTATTAAAGATTAGCATCATTCCCTATGAACATTGTTAGCGATTGATATAATTCCCTCCAGACAATATTAATAGTTGGTATAATTCCTCATGGATTGGTTCACAAATAACTCCATTTAGAAATTTTTTTTGAAGGAAAAAATTTCTAAATGGAGTTATTTGTGAAACCAAGAAATTCTCAAGTAAACGGTTATAAAAGCCTTAACGGTAAACTTAGATAAAATATGATACGAGAGCGAATAACGACTTCATAGATTTTTAATGCAAGTGTAAAATTTAGTATGAACTTAGTTAAAAAACTGATTATTTCGAAATTCATATAAAAATGGGAAGAACAGCTAAAAAAAAGAAGATGATAGGACAAAATAAGAAATAACGAAAAAATACAGAAAGGTTGAGGTATATTTACCTATTGAAGTACCCACTGAGGGACAGCTTCCATCTAATGGTGATATTCTAAGATACTATCAACTTATCCTTCGCGAGTCACAAGTAAAATACAAACCCACTTCTACTAATGTTGGTTGCAAATTGAAATCGAAATCCAAGGATCTTGTTTGTGAAAATAGTGATTGTACAGATCCTGATAACTCTTGCTTGGTAAATAGGATTTAAAAAATTTGGGATAATGCTGGGTTTGACAAGAAATTTGTGATTTCTGGGTACAATATAAAGACCAAAATCATTAAACTTAATCTAAAATACAAGAAATTGATTAAATTGTCTTCTCTAAACTGGAACAGCAGCCTTGATAAGCAATCAAAGTTAGAGAAAGATTTTCTCACAGAATCCTATCAGCTTTTTGACATCTCCACTAAGAATTTTAAAAAAGATATTCTTGCTGATAGATTGAGAACAAATGATGACAAGCTGGAAGATATAAAGTTTTTAGTATTGAGATTTTTTTTCCGATTTAAAGTAACTTAAGTAATACCATATTTTTTCCTTTAAAATATTTACGTTTAACAATTTCCATGGTTTGGCCATCTTCCAGAAAAAACTAGAACAATTATTAATTTATTTATAAATGTCTTAATAGAATTAACTATTTCTTAGTTTTTATGAAGACCAAAAGTTGGATAGGAAAAGATATATGGGAACAAACGTTGACGAAGACTACAGTAGAAGAGTACTGGATGCAAACAGGAGAAAGAACAAGCTAGATAAGTTGAGGGAGAAAGAATTAGAGAGACAGAAAAACGTAAAAGATATCAATGATGTTTTGTTGTCACATGACTTCATGACAGAAGAGATTTAATTCAGCAGTGAAGAAAAAAAGCCAAATGAGGACTCTGAAATCAGCGAGGAAGAAAATTTCCTGGGTAACGGTCAGAAACGCAGGTATAGTATTATTTTAATAACTTAGTTTTAATTTTCACAAGCTAAAACTGTTTTATTGAAAAGTATATAATTATAAATAGGTAGAAAAGTATTATAAAATGATATCTAGGTACAATTCTGGAGAGAGGATAAATCTAATAGTGAATGTTGAAAAGCTCATTGAATGTACTGCTATTCCAGCAACAAGGTTCAATGTTGGTGTACAACCTCATCTGGCAATTTTAAGTGAAGCATTTAAAGCTGGAGGTATAGAAATTAATGATATACCGCTTTCACGAAGCACATTTCATAGAAAAAAGTTTAAATATGTAGAACTTGAAGGAGACTTGGAGTGGATTTCAATAACTAATCATCTTAACTGTTGCAACAAATTACCACTGGGCTTAACATTATTCAAAAAATCGAGCAACTTGCAGTCTCAGTGAGTTCCCCAGATGACGATACCATGGAAGACCATCTTTTAGGTGTTGTTCAATGTCCCACTTTAAAGGGAGTTGACCAAGCAGAACAAGTGCATAATCTTTTAGAATATTACAGATGTAAAGAGCAGATCATTGGTATATGCTGTGATACAACTGCAAGCAATACAGGCAGAGTCAATGGAGCAGTCCAAATTCTTACAGATATTTTGAAAATACCAATTTTGTGGATATTGTGTAGGAGACAAATATATGAAGTGCATGTATCTCACTATAAGGCTGCTCTTACTGGTGAGAAAACTAAAGGTCCAAGAAGAGCTCTTTATGTCAAGCTAAAGAACAAGTGGCCTGAAATCTGTAAGAAAGTTAATGAAGTGAAAAATTTATGTAAATTGGACTGGCAAAAAGATGATCTGAAGATTGGCTCTGTTCTTCGCACTGTTGCAGAGAAAGCTAAGAAATTTTTAACTAATGCAACTACTGATATGGTGTTTTCAAGGAATGATTATGGTATAGTTTGTAAATTTGCCTCCTTCTTCCTTGCAGCGGAAGTACAAGGTTTTAAGTTTCATCAACCTGGCACCTGGCATGAGGCAAGGTTTTTAGCAGATGCGATCTACATCCTAACTCTTTATATGACCAAAGATATCAGTAATATCTTGACAGAAAAAGAAGTGCTGCAGTTGAAGGATGCAAGTTTGTTCGTTGCAATTTGCTATGTTCCATGGTTTTTGAAAAGTTTCTTAGAATTTTTTTTTTTTTTTTAATGTTGATTTTAGGTGCCCCAAGAAGTCCTTACGGTCTTATCACAGAGCACCGCGGATAGGCATTTAATAGGAAGTTCATGCCTCCTTCCCAACCGATGTTGCAAAACTTGCCCAGAGGTGGGGTTTGAACCACGGATCTTACGTTTCTGAGGCAAGTGCGCTACCACTGCGCCACGGCTGCTTTTCTGGCTCCCTACAATGATTTGAAAGCTATCCAGACAGCCTATGCATTGAGAAAAGTCAATAAGAATATTGGAAATGCTTTACTTCTCAGCATGGGATGCCATACATGGTGCTTAACTCCACAACTCTGTATTTTGTC